AAAAAATAATATAAACTCAAAACATAGAAGGAAGGCCATTTCCCAATTCATTCCATGAGGCCAATACCACTTTGATGCCATAACCAAAGGTATCACAAGAAAGAAGTGATAGATCAGTATATCTTAAGAGCATAGATGCAAAAACCTTCAACAACATATTAAGAAATCATTGTCAACAACATAAAAATATTATGCAGAATGCAAGGGGGATTTAATCACAGGAAAACAGTAGAACATCTGAAAATGAATCGAATAAATCATAACAGCAGAATAACACACAAAAATCACATGATCATCCCACTAATGAAGAAAAATCACTTGAAAAAAATCCAATTCCATTTCATGATTAAAAAATTCTAAAATACTAGAATTACAGTGGAACTTCCTTATAAAAAGCACTTATAGAAACCCATAGCTGACATCATTCTTTTTCTTTTTTTGGTACCAGGAATCACTCAGGACCTCACACTTACTGGGCAGGCACTGTGCCACTGAGCTAGATCCCTGATGGAGACCACTACAAAGTGTCTCCGAGCAGGATTTCATATTAACCAGTTGGCTTTCTGTGTTTGTGAGTTGTCTGAAGCTTAGGTACCCATCTGAAGATGGGCAGTGGACTCATAGTAAGTGAACCTCTATGAGTCACTGGTCACCCTGGGGCCTGTATTGGCCTGTGAAGCTATGACTACTCAAAGGACAAGATAAGGCCTCAGCTTAGGAGGTCTGGCTCCAACCACATTTAACTACAAGGAGACAGCAGCTGCAGGCTCCACACTCCTCCAACAAATACCAACCTAAAGATAAAGTAGTTCTCCTGATTGATGTAATTTACTACTTGGGAAAACTCTTCCAAGGTCCTGCTAGATTCCCAAGTTTTCTGGAGTATCCTCCTCCTTTGTTTGTAAACCAGGTAAATACAGGCTGCCCAGAGAAGTCTTTATCTGAAGGAATTTCTGTCCACTCCTCACTTAAACTGAGGTAACACAAGGCAGGAGATACACGTTTGGGAAGAGTGACTAAAAGCTAATCCTTTTTTTGGACTTGATCTACATTTAGGGAAGGAATTTGTGGAGTCATTTCCACCTTTTTGTGGGAAATCCAATGGCTTTCTCGCCTTATTTATTCTTCTTTGTCCACTTTTCTACTATGCACATCTTTCTAAACGGGATGAATTGTAAACTCTCACTGCTTAATTGCTTTCAGAGATGGACCCCTGTGCAGGCGGAAATGGATGGGCTCACACATGTCAGAATGAGAATGGCATGCCCAGGTGTGCCTGCCACCCAGGGTACCAGCTGTCTGAAGACAAAAGACCTGCGAAGGTGGGAAACGGAAGCTGATGGCTTAATTGTGTAATTGTCTGAAATTTTGTGGTAGTTCAATTTTGAATAGTTAGAGCAGCTAGGGAAAAAATGTGTTTTCACTTATGCTTAAAAGGAACATTTAAATTCTTGTTTGATCACTTCGAAAGGTATTTTTACAATGCTATCAAAACTCAGTGAAATTCTTAGTTACAATTAATAAGTGACCTAGTACAGCTTCAGCATTAATGTTTTTTGTTTTCTATTTTTCATTATGAAGTGAATTCTAGAATTACCATTTCAAAACCTTCCATAACCACACAGGGAGGTTTTTATTACAGGCTTCAGAAGGTAGAAATAACTTTTGAAAAGCAAGTACGTGCAAATGAGCATTCTCAGAAGTTAGGAATAATTAGAATAAAAGGAGAAAGAAACTGTAAATACAAGGTTACACATTTCTGGTTCCTAGAATTAGCAAAACAGACACTTCAGTTCAAAGATGAAAGTGATAAATTATCATGTGACCAGGACTGATAAATGAAGTCAATCCTTTGAGACAGTCTTTGTTTTAATAACTTCTTAGAAATAAAACAAACCTTCATTTTTATCATGACTTTTTTCATGAAATGAGAAGCAGTTTGTTTGGATTAGTTATGAAAACACAAAAATGTTTCCTGGTTTATGGGACTGATAAACATTTTGTGAAACTGAAAAAGAATTAGGCATAAAATTTAGTGTTTCTTTTTCATTAAGCCAAAACTAAGAAAATTTTGTATGGCTTTTGTTAACGTATTTTCTAGCAGAGAACATTTCTGCTTTGGTCTTGTCTTTCCAAGGAATCTGCCTAACTCAAGCCTTGAACAGGATGTTGTTAAATGTTTGTTGGAAAATGACAAATGTATATATCTATATCTATATCTATCTATATCTATCTATCTATATCTTTCAAACATATTTTATTATGATACATTACTCATAGAAAATCTATCTCCAAAACCACTGCCTAACTAGGGGATGGCATGGAACAGTAAGAAGAGAAAACACCAGCCGAAAGGAATGGTGATGAGACCTACCTAATTACAGGGCTGGACATAACCTGGGCCACAAAACTGAAGTAACGCGGGGTAAAACTGGCCACCACTGTCAGAGGAAAAGAGGAGACCAGTGTTTACACTGCCTGTCTTGCAGTCATCAGAGATATAACAAACCATTAATGCTCATATAAAGGCCAAAAATCCGCCTGCCTGTGGCCACATATACTATCTGCTTAAGATCAGGAAGATGCTATTTTATTCACTAAGAATATGATATATTTTCCTAAAGAAAAATTGCCATGATTCTACCTCTATTATTAAGGGGCAAATTAGACCTGCTTTTGGTTTTCTTCTTTTCATTCTAGAGATAGCAGTAGGACATCATAGAAAGAAGTGTTTATTAGCATAAGACCAAAATTAGAGGTCATGTTATAAGCAACTGGTTTATTTACAAATGTTCTTTTCACACAAAGAAAATGGAGCCTCTACTATATTTACTCTTACTGAATGTCAGGGAGTAAATGTGGAGGAAGATTTAGTTCATTTTTATAGTTTACAAATACGCCTTCATTGGAGCTGTGAAGGCACAGCTGTTGTCTCTCTTTCTGCAGATATAAATGGATGCACTGAGGATCTTGCTCACTATGGTCATTGCTGTGTGAACTCAGTGGGATCTTTCACTGTGTCGGCCGGCTGGCTTTGAGCTGGGAGCTAATGGGAAACAGTGCTACGGTAGGGCAACACTTGCAGCGTGGGGACGCTGCTCGGTGCACCTCCCACAGTGGCCCTCTGCCCCCTTCATTGCCCTTCTTCATGCCTCTCTAAGCAGCTCATACTCCTTTGCATGTTACAAGTGTTAAACAAGAGTAATAAATGAAAGAACAACACTGAATATCTCATCAAAGCAAAAGCTCCTGAGACTCTTGTCCACTGCTTAGACTAGCTGTGGGTACTGAGAAGTCCAACCCTCTTCATTCGTAGCTGAGGAAACAGGCGCTCAGAGTCAGACAGAAGATGTAGCGCAGGCTGAGGCTGTAGCTCAGTAGCACAGTACTTGCCTGCTCTCCCCAAAGCCCTGAGTTCAATCCTAGCATGGGGAAGAAAAGGAAAAGAGGAAGAAAGGAAAAGAAAAAAAGATAAAGAACAAAAGTAGATGACTCATTCGTGACCCATGGTGTAAGGATTGTGTCCTTCAGCTTGACATCACCATGACAAAATCAACTTAAAAAGGAGAGATTTGTAGTGGCTTCTGACTTTGTGAGTTTCAGTCCATGGTTTACTGGTTCTGCTGTTCACAGGCCTGTGGTGAGGAAAAAGATGGCAGAAGGGCATGGCGGGGTGAAGCATACTTCACGGAGGCCGGGGAGCACAGGGAAGGACAGTCTGTGTTGGTGCGCTTCCTCCTTCTTCCAGTTCGCTCCGTCCATGCCCCACCTGTGGGGTGGCCTGCTCCCATTAGGGGCATGGCTCTCCTGCTCCTCACTGCAAGCACAATTTGCTGCCCCTGACACCAGATATCTCTGGAAACACCCCACGGACACATGCAGAAGTGTGCTTCCCTAATTTCCAAAGCATTTATCAATTCAATCAAGTTGACAGTCAAGATTAACCGTCAAGACAGATGAGGCTTAATCTCATGACTCTGGTTTTGATCTCTGAGCCCATTGCTATTCTTTCTGAACCATCTGCCTTCCTTTAACACCTCTTCTATGTGACACTTACTAAACATCACAAACATCAATATAATACTCAAGAAAGGAAGCCACAGTGAAGGAAAGTATCTGCAGCAAAAGCAATTCTAGGTTGTGATATTGTGCCTGACACACTGGACACTCGAATGAGTGCCTTCCATGCTGGCCCTTCCCTCTGTTCTTTCCTTCATTGCCATCCACCACGTGTCTTTAAAGCAGCTCACTCCTTTGCCTTCTTTTCAGCTAACTTATTCCTCTACCTCTTTTCTTCAAACAATTGTAATTAATGTCCTCTACTCTTGGTGTACCCTTACCTGGATGCAGTTATGCAATTTAATACGTCCTTTGTTAGGAGTATATTAAAATTTTCAAATGCTAAACTAATAGCTGTAATTGCTGCTGCAGCTATTTTCTTCTGTCTCATCTTATCACTAGTTCACCACTAAGTCTGTTGATGAACACATTTCCTGCTTTTATAAGCTTGGTTCTGGTACTAATTCTCTCGAGTCGTGTCGTCTGTCTCAGTACTTTCCATCCTCATCCATCTCTCTTTCTCCTCTCCTTTTCAAATGACAAAATTAACTTCAATTTTTTATGTCAGATCTTTCATCCCTGCCTCCTTGTTACATCTTGTTATGTCAATAGTTTATTTTCTTCTTTGCATTTAGACTCTATCTTGTCTGTGTCTTTATTATTTCTTTGTCCAGTTTTTACCCATATTGTAACAGACTACCTTTTCTGTGTTTGCAAAGCACAATCATGCTAATTGATTTTGTTATAAAGTCAGTACCAAACTCTCAATGTTAAGCAGCATGGCTGGAAGACCCTATACTGCTTTTGGTTCCTTCAAAATTAAATATTTTTGTTTCTCTTCCAAATCCTGTCACCTCTCCCAGTTCTGCCTTTATCCCAATTTGTCTCTAGCATTATCAACAAAGGGATGCAAAATACATTGACAATTGGCCCCATGTCTCCCATAGAATCATTGGAAAGACCTCACTCTTATTGATATGAAGGGAATGTCCCTGCTCCTGTCAAAGTCCATCTTTTCCATTATGTTCTGGATTCCATCTTATGCTAACATCTCAAGATCTTTGTTTTTCCAATCATTTTTCTCTTTTGGATTCTCTTTTCTGCCTTCTGGATTGTTCATTATCAACATAATGATATGGCCAAGAGCTTTCTATGTCCCAGTGTCAAGTGTCTTTAAATTACCCTAGATGAACCCACGTCCCACCTGAAATTTCATAGCAAAGATTTGATGAGTACAATCAATGTCTCCTCTTTCTGACCTTGCATTTTTCTCATCAGCCCATAGTAGCTAGGTTTCATCTAGACCCCTTGATGATCACCAATGTGCTCTGTGTTGCCGGATTAAATGGTAGTCATTCTAGTTTTATTCTATTTGACCTCTCACCATCTTTGAAAACCATAGATCTCCTTTAGTATTCTTGAAATGCTTTCTTCCCTTCTGTCTCAGTTCACTTCTCTAGCTTTACTTTCCACCTCTGTTGCATCATAATGTCAGATTTATGTTTCCGGCTTTGTTCATTCTTTTCATTATGTGTGAATATTCTTAACTGTGTACTGAATGCCTTGCCTTTCATGACCGGTAGGTACAGCAGATTTGATAGAGCAAAACTGCACCACTGATTGCAAGTCAAAGTCCCGAATATGCGTTTTCTAGTTCCTCACATTTTAGTGAAGTATGCGTTCAGTGATTAAACCAAAAACTCAGTGATACAAAGTCAATAAATGATAGAACTTGAATTTGAACTAAGGTCTTTGAGCTCTGTCTATATAGTATTTGTTCAACTTCATAAAGTATTTAAGGTACTTATGTACCTTATATGTCTCTTTATTGGTATTAACCAAAAAAGAGGAATATGGTGATAAGTACGGTAAATAATTTAGTATTCTTGCCTGTGATCCCTCATAAAGAGACTTTATTAAAGTCCTTGAATTCAGCATTTTTCTTGTCTGCATAAAATTCTGTTCTTGGTTTGGTGATATAATCTTAAAATCTTTGATATATTTCTACTGCTTAGACTAGTTTTGCTGCAGTGCTATTTGCCTTTTAACAAGCAACTAAAAAAGATGGAAGGGAAAATTTACTACTAATTAAGATACAACTTCTTCAAAAGTTAGTCTTTTCTGGGAGGAAGACTCGAAGGAATACTTTAGAGAGAAAAATGTAGATGGGATTTTTCTTTCTTATTAATATTTAGTTTTTATATATGGCCAGATTTTAAGGGTTGAGTATTTTTTAACAAATGTATGAAATAAAATCTTTAGATTCTGACTGGAGCATTCTTATCATCAAGAAAGATGTGATCATTATTGTTGAAGGTTTCTGTGGAATTTACTTGGGAAAGAAATTTGCCCTACAGTGGAGGACATTTGATAGAAATACAGTTTCCCTTGTATGGCATTTATTTCCCTTCTATGACAGTTGCCTAAGTTCTTTCTGTAGTTTTCAGCAGATCACAGTATTTACTGACATGCCAAGCTTGGAGAAGATGTGTATTTTGGTCTTTCAAATTCTGAAGCAAAATAAATCTTTTAAGAGCATAGTAATATTTTGTAGTGAATATTGTGCCCGTCATCTGACAAATATAGTTTACAACATTTCCTTTACCTTTTCCTAGAAAATAATATTTATATTTTTATAATTTTATCTGAGAAAGTTTCAAAACACTTATAATACAGTGATTAAATTCTCATAGTGAGCTATGCTTTAGCTCTCACTATCTTGTGATTAGGAATTATAAAGTTCCAGATATACCATGGTTAGATACATATTTACTGCAGATTTTATTTATGAAGTAAGTAATATATCTACTACTTATAACAAGCAGCAAAGGTCATTTTTAAGGGTTTTTAAGTATGATTTTTAAAGGGTAATAGTAAGCCATTTTTTACTATCACAATCAAGAACTCAAAATTTGAAATTAGATATAAATCAGAGCTCGGACTTGTTTTAATCCTCTATTTTTAATGAGGTTACCATAGTTTCATTTATATACAATTAAAATTGCCACCAGAATATTTAGAGCTGTACTGAGGCAGTACCACAGGAAAACAGCAAGAATACGGAAAGCCTACATAAAATGCTGCATAAGCATCCTTTTTTTCCCCTTGAAAATTTGTGAAGTGTTGGGCAATTTAGTATAGTTTGTGGCACTTTAAATATGAGCTACTCTAGGGATCAAAACTCCAACAACAGCACAACATAGGCAGTAAATAGATATGTGAAAATCAAAACAAATGTAAGAAAAGAAGGCATTGTGGGGACTGTTCTGAATCGGAGAGCAAGTTCTGGGAGCAAAGAGGAAATGCCTGCCTCCTTCCTGCTGAGTGCTGTCTGGAAGGAGCAAACACTGTAACAGTGTGTCCAGAGTCGCTGAGTCATCCGAGTAATGCTTACTGAATAGTTACCACCGGCAGGTACCAATATTAGCTCTAATGAGACAGTGACGAGCAAGCCAGCCAAGGGTCCTTTATGGAACTTAAATTACAGAACAGAGAAAATGGAAGAGTAATGAAAGAATACACACTATCTTGTGCATAATGGTAATAGTTTGACCATTCCTAATTCAAAACTTGAGACTCTAAAATGCCCCAAAATGTGAAATTTTTAAGTACACCACTGTGGAAAATTCTACACTTGATCTCATGCAATATATAGCAGTTAAGATGCAAGTACCATACAAAAGGTTTTTAGCCCCACGCTGCACGCACCCTGTGCCAAGTGTGCAAGTGCTCCAAGAGCTGCTGGTCCCGCAGTTCGAGTCCGTGCTTTACTCACACCGCCACGGTTCCCAGCTGAAACTTGCAGAGAGAGCCAGTTATTTCCCATCTACTTCCTGGGGACAAAGCAGGTGACCCAGGACCCCGCCGCCATTACAGACTGAGTCTCTGCCCTCCAGGCACCAATGGCAGAAAGGAGGTCCTCACTCAGAAGCCCCAGGGACTTCTCTGACTGGGAGAGGCATGTGTAGCCCTCCCTTCTCCCCACCCTGTGAAGAGTGAGAGAGTGCT